CCCTGAAAAACATGCCTCCAATTGGGGGGGTCGTCTTATATGCCGGGTCGTCTTATACGCCGGCAAATAGTAATTGGGAAGCACTGCGGCTGCCCGCGGCTGAGGCACTTTTGCGCACCGTGGAAACGAATCCCGTGAAGCTGAAAGGAGCAGCCAGCCTTCTCCCAGCTCCCAAGGAAACGAGGCTCGCACCGCCCGAGCTCCGCTGAGGTATCCGGCTGGGGCTGTCAGGAGTTGTTAGTGCTGGCGCGGCTCCGCGCGGCTCCAGTCCCGCGTTGCCTCGGGAAGGGAAAGGCAAAACCAGGAGCCGCTGCTGCCATTGCAAAGCGCCGCGGCGGCTCTTCCTTTTTGCCTTTCCCTTCCCAAGGCAACGTGGGACTGGAGCCGCACAGAGCCGCGCCAGCGGTAACAACTCCTGACAGCCCCAGCCGGATACCTCAGCGGAGCCCGGGCGGTGCGAGCCTCGTTTCCTTGGGAGCTGGGAGAAGGCTGGCTGCTCCTTTCGGCTTCACGGGATTCGTTTCCACGGTGCACAAAAGTGCCTCCAAAAAAAAAAAGTGCAAAAGTGGAAGGCGTGCGGAAGAGGGGGCGAGTATATAACAAACTATATTTTGAGTGGAAATGTTGGGGGGTCGTCTTATACGCCGGGTCGTCTTATATGCCGGCATATACGGTATATATATTGCCCACCCTCTACACCAGTCAGCTTGTGAATATAGAGGACAAAGATACAAGGAAAACCATGTCCAGAGTTGAATTTCTTTATGTACAGTAAGGACAGACAGAAATACAAAAGCCATGCTTGCTACTGCATAGGAAGTGATAAGTATAATTTCCAATGATATACATGTATATAAAATACATTAAAGAAAATAAGGCCAAACTTGGAAGGCACATCCTTCCTTGTCAGCTATATGATGCCCTGCCCACATCATCTAATGAATACAAAAAAGGATCGTGGTTCTAAAACCATTCCCATTTTGAAAATGCTTCACACCTTTGATGTTTTCAAATGGACAGTACGAAACACTGACTCTATACCGTCTTCAGTGGTGCTTAATTCCAAAGTTTAAGGTTCAGTTCTCCGACTTTTATCAGTTCTCACTTTAATAGGTAGATTGGAAAAGGTTAAACCAAATTTAAGCAATGTTATTTAAATATACATTTTAGCTTAAAATTAAGGAGTTTATTTCCCAACTCTCTATTTAGAAAAGAGTACATTTACAAACTTTTCCATAGACATTAATACAACATGAAAATATTTAATTTTGGATGGCTATAGCTTTGACAGGCTTTATTTTTTCCCCATCAATTTTTATGAAATAGTAACACTAAACACATACACATACTGGCCATCTGATCGCTTTAATAAATTCATTACTAAAAATAAAGTTATGCCCTGTAGTATATTACTAATTAGGACCTGGTATTAATTTTAAGGGGTTTCCCCTGGCCCCTTGTATTCAATATTTACACTGATTTCTCTAATTGGAACCAACTGATCTTTTTCCTGTATATTTATTTTCTAAAGCCTACCAGTTAACAATGACTCTAATACAAGTGAGGGGTTTTTTGCTTGTAGCTTTTGTTTGAGGTTTAATTAAGAAGACCCAGTGTCTCCAAGCCTGAGCTGTGTTTTTAATTGCTCATATGTATATCATGTAGACTTCAAAAGAAGAAAAAGACATTTATAACACAGAACACAAAGGAGAGCTTTGAAATGTCTACAACCATACAAAGTGGCATAATTAAAAACCTATGGCTGCTTCTGTGATATATATGCAAGATATATATTTATAAAGTAAGCTATTGTATACACTCATGAGATGCCAAAAGTGGTTTTGCACTGTTAAAGAAATAATCTCAACACATCTCAAATAAACTGCAAAGCAAACTAGCATGGTAACCTTTTATTCAGGTTGATCTCGTGTATTCTATTATAGTGGATTTCAAACCTCTGACAGCTTACCCATATTTTCCACTTTTGAATTCTTAATTCAAGAGTAATTATTCCTCCTCTTAAAACAAGAGGTAGCACTTGTAACCACAACATAGCACAACAACTTTCCCAGGGTGGTCCCAACATGATTCCAGAAAAGCATCACAATTAAAATATGCATGCCATTATACTCATGGCTGTCTTTCCCCTAGGTCGCAAAAGGAGAAAGTGCTATTTCTATCAGCATGAAATTCAATACGGATTGTGGAATATATTTTTTTGCCTGCATTGTAGATGGAATCTCTTACAGAGTTGAATTTCTTTGCCAAGCTTTTAAAGTCTAGAAACCTGCACGAATCTTCCTGTTTGTTAACTATTATTATACCACTGAAATTACAAATAATCCACATAACCACCACCACACACCGGTTTGATTTGAAAATATATCCTTATGTGAAGTCATTTAAAACCCAGGGAGAAATGTGAAAAGGGTCTGCAAGTTATCTACATAGTCAGAGCACTTCACAATGCAAATGCCTTTCTTCAGTGGGCAAAGCTATTCACATCAGTCAATGTCTATCCCAAAATAGAACCTGCTATACAAAGACCGCATGTGACATTTAAGCCACAATGCCTATAAATACAGTTTATGTTTCAGTAGTAAGTTCCTCCAGAAATGGACACTAGAACCCGTTGCTCAGAGATAGTACTCACAATTCACCCTTTAGTTAGACTGCGGGAACAATCATAACTTCTTTATATGATCTTAAAGCAGCTTTTAAGCCAGTTATAATAAATATGTGACAGGGTATGTCAGTGGAATAATTATGATGTTTCAGGCCATGGATTGATATATATTAACTTTATGTTTTAAGATTAATGTAAGGTGTTACAAAATAAACAAGTAGTGGGGATAAATAACCACATTCTTTTTATAAAGTAATAGAAAATGAAATTTTCAATAGTTTGAAATGGAGGGGAAAAATAAAAGGGTCCAACATAAAAGAATATAGGAGATAATTAAAAGAGAAATAAGAGGTAAAGGGTAAAAAAAAATCCCTCAATTGGACAGTGTAGTACATTTAGTTCTTCAGAAAGATGTCAGAAAAAGACCGGAAATCCTTTTCCAATCTTCCAATCAAAGCTCTGGGATACACAGTGGTTTTGAGAATAAATCCAATGAGCATCCTAATAAAGAGCCCAAGAGGCTGAGGCCATGAAATGTGTATATTTACAAATACACCCTTCCACAAATGTCTTCCTATAAAACTTCCTAAAATCTATTAACATTCCAAATTGCCACCTACATGGATTAGACTGGGACTACAGCAATGTATGTTTCCTGTGAGAAGGTGCATCAATACTAGCCACTGGCACACATGCCCCAAATTCTGCATTCTCTAACCAAATAGTTAGAAGAATCCACTGTCCTCTGGAATAGGTCTATTAAACCAGTAGTAGCTGCTCTTTAGAAAAGGGTAGATGTACATCATTAATCATGGTATACTGGGAAGGATGCCCTTTGTCACAACAACTATTTATCTTGAATCATTTTTTCCCCTCAAGAATCTTATTAGGATTTAGCTGATTAGAGATATAATCCTCTTGAGAACATCCCCTGCCTAAAAGATCCATGCAAACAAAACAAATTGCTAAGATAGAAAAGAGTTTTTATTCATTTTTAATTTATTTTATTCATCAAATTTATCTGGCTGCCCATTTCACATTAAATGGACAACATACAATACAACCTACAATTTAGAACATTCCACAAAACTAATTAAAAGTGATACATGTGAGCAAATCAAAACCATGAGAGGGAAGATATTCGATATAATTCAGTCTTTATATTGGGACATGTACAGGAGAATTATCTGGTGAAATTCTAGAATCAACTTGGAAAGTTTTAAAAGGATATTAATTCATGGAAAATAACGATGTCAATGGCTATCATAGGCTATTATAATGGCTACATGTTGCATCCAACACTGAGATATTACTTGCAGAAGAACATGAGGGAATATTTTTGCACTTACACATTGAATTTGGGCTTCCCACAGGCATTTAGCTGCCAACTGTGGGAACAAAACCTAGGGCTAGAATAAGCCTTTGCCTTTACCCAGAATAGGCCCTCTTATAAAATATTGCAAACAGACTACTTGCCCATGGAGAGGGGAAGTTATTTTTAAAGTCTCATCTACAAAGAAAAATACTCATATACTACAAAACTAATGCTAATACTATGTCTATTTTGCAACAGATACCATTTATTCTATATGCCGCACTGTTCCAACATGTGTGATACTTGCAGAAAAGAATCCCTCCCTTTTTTTTAACCCCAGCAGTCTTTCCCCATAACTCCAATGTCTTAAAACAGAAATGCATTAAAAAAAAAAGATTATGAGTTTCATTTATCATCCAAAACAACTTCTTCCTTCTAAAATAAAGCAAAGAATTGGGGAATTAAAATAAAGGATTCCCCAGTAGCAATTAGTGCAAAGAACAGTTCTTCCTCAGAAGACCACACCTTTGTTTCTTTTATTTGGGATTCTTTTCTCATTTCAGTTTGTTTTAAGATACTTGCTTCACAATCTGTATTACAACAATTAATAATTCCAAGAGGAAAGAAATGGCTACACAAAAGAAATATGGAACCAAAAACCCAATTTTTTGTTCTCAATCCAAAATGCAACAAGTTTTTCCATAAACCACCCATGACTGCACCGTCTAAGGGTATTTAAGTAAGAAAACATTGTGGCAATGCGTTCCCAAGATCCTGCTTAATAAGAGGCAGCTGCTTTGTGATAGATGAACCAAGCAGGTCACCAACACAGGCATCAGAATCAATCTCATCCCACAGAGTTCATCAGCATTGAGACAAGGCTAAATACAAAATAAAATCCATGTGAACATAAAACCAAACATTCAAGAAGCGCCTCTACACATTTGCTTCAACTCACATATAAAGGATGCATTAACATTCCTGGGGTTTTATCATCCATCAATCTTTTTAAAGGACTACTTCTCTAGATTAAGTCACTGTATCCACATTAGAGTTTACCTTTTATTTCTCCAAGGAGTTCACTTGTGTTTAATCTCTCCATTTTCTCCTTCCAGTCTTTAGAAAGTAGTTTTTCCATGCAAGATGAATCTATAAAGAAAGGTGAAAGCATTAGCAAAAGTTAATATGAAGTCAACAGACAAACTTGTTTGAGCAGCCTCTTCCAGAAAATGTGACTTCAAGGAAATGCCATGCCTCCTGCATTATGATAGTTGAGTCCTATTAACTGCTGTTGTACTTGAAGACAGTCAATGAATAAAAATATATTCAGCTTTCTAAATAAAGAATGATGCCAGAGCTATATTGTCCTAACCTTGCAGAGGAATTTACAGGAGAAGCATCCAAGTTCTCAGGAGCACTCAAGTTAGATAGGGAGAGTTTTAATTTCCACCACCACCACCTCCGTTTAATGAGGACACTAGAAAGAAAACTGCCTGTGCTATACATATTATGTATGGTTTGTTTGTATATCTTTGTATTATGGAAAGGTTGTGCATTCATTGATTTATTCATTAGATTTGTACCCTGACTTTGGTATAAACCAAGGTGTCCTATATTGTTACTTCTTCCTCTTAATTTAACCCACAACAACCACACCTTGTGTGTTAAACTGGCCTGGAGAAAGTGATTAGCACAAAGTCACTTGGTGAGCGTCTGTGGCTAAAGGTAAACTTGAACCTGGATCTCCTTTCTTCTAATCCAGCACCTTAATTACTACAGCACTCTAGCTTTCATAAAGCTATTTCTGCTAGAATTCAAACCAACATATCACAAGGCAAAAGTTTAATTACTATGCAGTAAAAACAGAGCACGGGTTATAGAGGGAGAATGGATGTATGCATGTTGGGAGGGAAGACAAACTAGATATTTAAAATATAACCTTAAACAATAAAAATATGCATTTACTTAGCTGAGGCTCACTGTGCTTATTTTTTGAAAAAACTCTAAATCTTAGTTTAGTGTGACATCTGCATGCAGCCAGTCTATGTAAAAATAATCAGTCCTGTAACTGCATACATATTACCAATTTATCGGAAGAAAAGCTTACTGCAAAACTTTTTTGCAAGTTGTATGAAAAAGAGTATATGAACATCCTTGGAAAGACAATGCCACTTGTTTCTTTTTTACCAAGTAATATTTTGGTAGAAAATCCAATTTACTAATTATATCCTTTTAAAAAAAGGAAGAAAAAACAACAACGCACAAGAACAAAATTAAGAGGCTTTAAGTTGTAAAAGGCAGCATTAAAATACTTGTTATACCATAAAACAAACAATTTGATCTTAACAATCACAAGCTTTTATTACTCTTATGAATTTTGGCCAGATAATAGAAGCATCAACAACTAACCGCCAATTATCAATAGAACATTATAATTTGTTGCCTGTGATATTATCAGTTTATAAAGATGATTCTCTGGTGCCCAGACAAAATTTTAATCATCCTCACCCCCACAAAAATAATGTTGGCTTTAAACTGACATTTACATAAAGCTAAGCTATTTTAGCTAAGAGGCTATCTCCCAACACCTCTATTATTACCACTACTCTATGCAGATATTAGTGTAAAATATATTAGAGAATTAAGGCATATTCAGACTACATTAATTTTCAGGACATCTGGAATAAGAAATTTCTACAGAGAACAATAAAGTGACAAATGTGCATTTCTTTGTAAATTTATTTTCCACACACTAACCAGCTTTTCTTTTTAAAATCAACAAATGAAACTGATACTGTTTAATTGTTCTGATATGACATATTTTCTTCATGAATTTATGGTTTTTGAAGAAAATATCTAAAACTTTATAATTAGGCAAATTTATCCAAAATTCTTAAAATTTAGATCATACAAATAATGTTACAAAATGGTGAAGCGTGCTAAAATTGAACAATTATTATACCAATAAATTTCCATGAACCACCAGAAGAAGAAAAAATCAGGAAAACTTCAATATTTCCTACATAAGCCTAAAGTATACCGGTATTTCATAATGCCTCAACTTTCCCTTTCCCTTCTAATTTCTGGATGAAGGAAGAAGAAAAATAAATATGTTTCAGAATATTCCTCGCTTCTTGTCAGATGCAAAGAAATATGGTTTTAAAAGAATACTAACAGTTAAAGACCTTATTATCTCAAATCACCTTCAACGTTCTAGGTCTCAATAAAGTATACAGTTATACAATCCATATAATTGAAAACTGCCACTGCCATGAAAAGCTCACTTTTTAAAATATACTTCTTTAAAAGTGTATTATTGTTTATCATACGGTAATCTGATAGACTATTATTATTTCTAAAATACGGTTGTTTACATACAATCTTGGCAATGTCTAGGCATTTTGCAGACACCAAAGGCAAGCACATTAATGATTTATTAATTATTGGAAATGAATGAAATATTTTAAGCAATACATGGAGGAGTTTGAAGAAAACCAATTTCAATAAAATCTCCCTCTTTCGCTATATTGCAATAAAAAAGCTTCTGTCATGGAGAGTAACCTAGCAATATCTGAAACATAAGCAACTCTCTTGAAATCATACTCAAGAAAACATTATTTATATTGAAAGAAAACAAGTTCTGTTTACATTATTAAAGTTCAGTCTATATTTACAAGTGGAACAATGAAGAATGATCACTACATTTTAAAACACCTTAGGATTTCTGAAGTTTCTCTTCTTTCATATACTCCATTTCAACATTGACTTTACACTTTAATGATATCATATCAACTTCACACAGTCACTATATCATGTAAAATGTCCCATCTTACTGTTTAATTCAATTTTAGAATCCATCTTCACATTCAGAAATAATCAAGCAAAAGGGATGTAAACAAAGCATCAAAATAAGACTGTTGAAACCACTTTAAAATATGCAAGTGGCCAGAGTAGTGTTTACAAAATTAGGGGCAAACTCTGATTAGAAGTTCCTTCAATTGTAATATCAATTCCCACCATGCAAAGTCACAATGAAATAGAACAAGATAATACTATATTAACTTTACTGGCCCAAAATTGAAAGTGACTGGTCATAGTAAGCAGCATCCAGACTATACTGTTGGCACTATGCCTGCTTTATACAGACAGCTTCATCTAGAGCAAATCAACTCCAGATTAAATTGGGGGGAACAATTGAAGAAAAATATTCCAATAAAACTTGAAATATGGAAAACATTTCAAGGGAAAGCCATGGCTTCATTCACAAGTACTGTCCAAACATGGATTAAGCATGATGTTTCATTGAACAAACCATTATAATTTAGATTGCACACATTTCAAAATCATAGTAGTTCACCTATTATGCTATGTCAAAATGTTGCATATAATGGCATTCCATGACATCCGTTCCCTGACATGTGAAATAGAACTCTATTTGATATCTCCTAATGTGGTTCTGTGTAACTTATTCATCTTTATTTTTTTTTCTTGGCTTCCCTTTCTTTTCTGATCTTTTTCTCATGTTCCTTATAAAATCATGTGCCATAAGGTTCCTTTTGACTCCTAGTGACCACATAGACAGATCTGTTCCTTGCAGAGGTTTCTGATTTTATATTTTCAATCTTGTTCAGCAATTTTCCTTTACTCATCTGTGTTGGCATACCTAGCTTCCTTTTCAGTTATTATCTGAAGCACCTCTTACATATTTTCATCATTATTATAAACTGCATATGTAAAGTTTTAATTCCACCAAGAAAACAACTTGACCTTCCTTTCAGAAGGTGGCCTGCAAACTTCCTGCAGCATTGCCGATTTACTCAGTTGGTGTCACTCAGAGTGAAACAGCTGCCTTACATAGCAACCAACGAGGGACAGCAACTCTCAGGGTTTGCTGATAGAGCTATCACATGAAGCAACAGCAGAGGAGGTATTCAGCAGGTTCTGACCAGTTCTGGAAAACCGGTAATGGAAATTTTGAGTAGTTTGGAGAACCAGCAAATACCACCTCTGACCGACTCTGCCACATCTGTTCTCTGCCTCCCAAATCCCAGATGATCGGCTAGGTCTTTTTTTTGTTGCCCTGCACAGGAGAGCAGAGCTGGAAAGCAGGTTAGTGGGCTGGGGAGGAAATGAAATTTTGCAGTAACCTTCCCCCAGGAATGGGATGGGAATGGAGATTTTACAGTATTCTTCCTCTGCCATGCCCACCAAGCCACACCACACCCACCAAGGCACATCCACAGAACCAGTAGTAAAAATCCCACCACTGAGCAACATCTATTTTCATGTTTCTCAAACGAACTGTGCTGGTGTATACATATATGCAGAGAAGGCCAACTTCCAAAGAAGACAAGATGTGATTATTTTAATCATTAATAAAAAATATTTTGCATATTAGAGAAAGTCTATATAGTTTCTAAGGATTTACACTGACTTGATGGTGCATCAACCATCCATCCCATTTTCTTTTGAAAGTTTTGCATCCTCTGCTAAAGTGTTCAGTCCTTTTACTAGGAAAGAGTTTGGCAATTGCTCCCAAACTGCTATGGTAGGAATGGCAACATCATTTTGGGAATCCCCTTGACTGAAAAACTTAGAAAGGAATTAAAAGATGAAAGTAAACAAGCTGACTGATAGATGAAGAATCTTCAATCATACACCATTTAATCTCTGCTTCTTACAATAATATCTCTAAGCATTACATATTAGGATTTAACAAACCCACCTATCTAATCTTCTACCTCTTTGGTAAGACATTATTTCTTTGCTAAGTTAAAATTCAGAGCTTATACTTCAGTTACAATTCAGAGCTTATACTTCAGTTACAAAATGAGGCCTGAAAACTAGATCCCTTCCATTCTGAACTCTAAGATATTCCCAAACTATTACTAGCTCTGATTGAAACTCTGAACTTTCCAAATATTGGGATATAAGTATCAGTTGTTGCCTAAGGCTTGTTATCTAAGCTGAGCTTGACTGGGAAAAGAGCTTATATAGCTCTTATTTAAAAAAAACAACTTCTAATGAACATTTCAATGCACTTAGATAAAATGCCATACACTTCTAAAACGCCCTCCCTCATTTTGTTTCCATCCTCATAAATGGGGATAACCAAGATTCTGCCCTGACATTTATTCTTTTAATTTATT